GTATTTTGCTGTGAGAGAGGAATGAAAGAGATTACTCTAGAACAGGGTCTGTTTTAGATAGGGATGTTAAGTTATATTTTGTGGCTAAATGAATATGATTTGATCTTCTGGTTTTATATGGGTTGTGACATTAAAACTCTTTTTTTCCCTCTTGTATGCTGAATTGAATTGCTCATGGTTAGTTCTGGGAGCCACTTCCTGGATACCACATCCAGTAAGATCTGGTATATAAATATAAATGTTATAAATTAAACCTGATAGTAAACCATAAAAGGAAGGGAAAGTTCCTGTTTTACTGTGGGGAAGTAAATTTAAACAGTTGGTGGCAGCTGATTCAGGAAGGGAGAAACTCCTGCTGTGAAAGAAAACCCCTTGAATACTTTTAGCTGGCAACTAAAGTTTTGTTTCTGCTTTTTTTAGTGAAAGCTACCCAAAATAATTTTGAGTTGGGCAGCAGCTAAATGTAAATAAATAAACAAATAAACAAACCAGGGATGGGTGGAATCCATAGAGAAAGGGACCATACCACTTGAGATATAGTAGGATAGGGCCCACATTATGTGAATCCCATATCTTCTTGTAGGACCACCAATTCTGGGCTGCAAAAATCAGGATTACCACCAGGTGACAGTACAATGTTAAAGTTTTGTTGCCATCTTGTCCTCTAGAGATCTGGTAACCCTGCCTTCTTGTATATTGCCCCTGATTCTGAATTAACTAATCATTCACATAAGAACTTCATTCTCAGTGATGAGTCTTCATCTTTGTCAAGATCCTTGAAAAATATTTTGTATGAGATCTCTCAGATATGTTCCTTTTAATCTGTTACAAAAGTGTGTGTTATACCTTTATTGATGTAACATGTTTTAAAGGAAAGCCTACTTTAAAAATACACTTAACTAAAACAGCTGCATAAAATGTTTGACAGTGATAGTAGCATACAGGAACATCCAGGTCTTTATGGACATTTGGAAATAATTGGGGAGGAGGGGGAGTCATCTACACATCCCATGGTATGCCAGAAGGACATGTTAATTATTTTCAATATAATAACTTACAGTGCTTTAGGTGGCAGAGATTACTATAGAAAAGGCATGATTTTTTTCTCTATTACTGATTATAAATATCAAGCAAGATAATAATTGCAACATCATCTGACACAATGCCCTATGGGCAGAAAGGCAAAATTGTAAAAATAAATAAAATGAATAGATAATTTTCCCAATGTGATGCCCTCTAGCTAAATTGGATCAAATTCCATTGTTTCTACCCAGCATGAGGAATAGCTAAACTAATAAGAAATAACAGAAGTTGAATTCCAATTAGCTAGAGAATATCAGATTGCAGAAGGCTGATGTGTTAGACTATGAAAAGGACAGAAAAGAAAATAAATATGCTTTTTTACTCTTCAGAAGTGTTGGTTTATTCATTAATTAATCAATACACTGACTAAAACCATTTATTTATTTATTATGTTTATAACTTACCATAATGTCACAGTATTCTCAATTGTTTATAGAAGTACAAGAACAATTAAAACATACATTGTTGGCATTAAAAACAAAAAGCACCTACGAGCATATAGAATAAATCAAAATCCTGGCTTCACAGTTCCAGTCCCACTCTGGAAGAGCTCCATTTTTAGGTCTTCCAGAAGGCAGTTGAAGTGAGAGCTAACCATCTCTAGCAGGAGGCCACTCCAGAGGGCCCCACTGCTGCCCAGGTTTTGCTCCTCCCTTCATCACCTGAAACTAGGAAACTACCAACTGTTTTTCCTGACAAGATCAAATTGGTTGGGCTGATTCTAATACGCCACTGCATTACTGAAAGTAACGTGATGCCAAGTCGTAAAATGCTTTAGAGGTAAAGAGTAGTACTTTCAATTGCACCCAGAGGCATATGGGAAGCCAGTGCAGGGCCCACAGCAGAAGTTTAATGTGTTTCCATCAGGAAAGGCTGGATAGTACACAGGCCACTGCACTTTTAACCAGCTGAAGCTTCCAAATCATCTTTAAAGGCAGCCCCACATAAAGCATTTTGCAGTAGTTCAAGTGAGTGGTGACAATGGCATGAGTCACTATAGGAAGGTCCTCTTGACCCAGACTGGGTACAATTAGTGTCCCAACTAAGCTGGATAAAGGCCCTCCTGGCTACAGCTTCTACCTGTTGTTCCAGCAGGACTGCAAATCCAAGAGGACTTCAAAGCTATGAATCTGCTCCTTCAGGGATAGTGCTTCCTAATTCAGAGATATCACTGAATCCATCAGAGAACCCCAATGGACAAACAGTAATTCTCCTTTAAGGTAGCTGGAAATGTCCCTTCCTGCAGTGAGGCTTTAACAATCTCCCAGATCCAGGTAGCTACCCTGCCTGTGGCTGTCCAAAGGACCCAGGAGGGGCAAGGGTCCAGGCCTCATGGCAGCAGAGGACTTCCTAGAGAACTATCTACTTCCTCAGAAGTCACAAGCCAAAACGAATCCCAAATCATGTGGCAACCTGATGTCTAGTGAACACTCTAGGATTTGCCCAGACTAGAACAAATCTGATAACTTCACTGGCAAAATGTTGTGCTAATTTGTCACACTTCATCTCCTGGGAGCTCTCAGAAAACCAAGGAGCCATCCAGAATTGGCTGACAGAAAGAGGCTGCTCAGGAGTGATTTCTTCAAGGACATGGGATATCTCATATTGCCAGCAGCGAACCAGGCCCTTGATTGATTCACCTGTCACACTGTCAAGGAAATCTCCAAGCATCCACTAGAAACCTTCCAGATACATGTGGTACTTGGGGTGGACCATCTGAATGGGTTCAGTCTACAGGAATCATAGCCAACCATCAGTCACATCTAGACCAGCAAGTGATCTAACCATGACAAAGAGGTGATGGTAATAGCCTCTATATCCAGATCACATTACAGAGATTCTGAAGTAAATACAAGGTCTATTATGTGGCCACCTGTTCATGTCAGCTCCATGATTTCCTGAGAAAAGCCCATGGTTACCATGGAGATCATGAACTTCCAGCCTTCACCATATGTGGTTTAAATCCATCACTGTTAATTGGGGGTGGGTGGGTGGGAATCAACCACCAGCTTGATGATCAGATCCAGAAACCTAGAAAAGCTCCTGATGGGCAGTCACTGATGCTGCTTGACTCCAGTCCAAACCTGCTTACTCCTTTCTCCTGACCTTCCACAAACCAAACAGTTACCTCCAGCAGCTTGGTGAATCTCTCTGCACCAAGGCCCTTCAAACCTTCATGTCCAGATTGATCCTTCCCTTACACATACCAAAACTCTTTACAAAACTTCAAATATATTCATATTTCCATTTCTCCACCCTCAATCCACTGCACCAATCACTCTGTTTGACATTGTCTTGAAAAAAACAATCCATTAATTGAGGTTTGCTTTTTGAAGCAACTCTCAGGTCTTGGGTAATTCAGGCAATCTGAGCTCATTAGCATAATTTAATCAATTTCCTTGATTTAATTAGTTTGTGTAGCCTCAGGCTACATGCCATCATCATCACCATCCTGGTTACTAGAAATCTGAACATGTTCCCTTAGCCTAGCTTCTAAGAGCAGTGCTTTCAAGCCTATTCTTACATCCACAATGTTGGAACCATGCTATTTTTAAAACCTCTGTGTTCCTCTCATGGACATCTACAAGTGGAAGAAAAATGACAACATATATGAGATGACATCATCATACAAATGCTGCAACTTACATACTTACACCAGGTGTAATTTTAAGGCTATTGTGGTTTGTTATGGACGCAACGGTTTCTAATTCCAAATTGCATTACTGCCCATGGTTAAGATGAAAATGGATTTTTTTTAAAAAAATGTGAATTACTCTGTCAAGCCTCAAAAAAAATATTCAGATAGAATGGTGTCACTTTAAGCATCTGTCACATCCTAACCCACCCACCAGTTAGTGTCATACCCTCAAAATTAGTTAGGATATGGTACTGACTGAAGCCTTACATATTTTCTACATGAAACATTTCTACTTCTAAATCTCAACAAGTGCTGTGCAAATTGATAAATGCTTATATTGGTATTGCATAGAAGTGCCAGTGCAGCATCACAAAACCTGGAGTTGCAATGCTTGCATAGCAGTTTTCCTCTAGTGTCGCAAGTAGGTAACACTATTGCAATTCCTCAGGACTGTGATGCTAGCATTTGATGATTCACATCTACACTAAAGCTGTTACAAAAGCACAAGTGTGTTTTTTAAGTATAATATAAGAACATTAAGCAGCGCCTTGTTTGGAAAACAACCAAGTATTGATGCTTGGAATTATTTACAAGACAGAAGAAAGATTGAATCAAATCCATCATCTTCTGAATTTCCAGGTAAGGATATCTGGCTATTTCTTTTGTTCTAAATAACTGCTAATCTGCATAACATCTCTGCTTTTGGTAAATTTTGCATAAGGCCACACATTTAGCAATGTATTACAACAAGCTGTAGACCCCAATCTTGGGTATCACTTGGGTTCTAGCTGATTGCGATAGTAAGCGATATGGGAAATGAGATTGTAATTCCTGTGTATTCTCATGTCTCGTGTCACTCTCTTATACAATGAAAAGGTCTCAGGTTTACTGGTTTAACATGGAAATCTATGGACCTCAACTTCACAGTATTGACATGATGCCTTTTACCAAGTCAAAGTTATCGCTACATTTTCAGCAAGCCAAAACCTCCATATTTTAGTTTAATACCAGTTACGGGTTAGCTACCTGTTACATTAAACCAACTGCCTATAGTTTGCCTTTTCTTTGAAGTGTATGAAGCTGACTTCTGTATGCTACCTAGATATTGTTTGACTTTCAATATTATCCATTATTAGGGTTCCTAAGCATTTATTCCAGTAAATGTCCTTATTGGTTATGCAACATGTGAAAAGTTTGTCCTACCTTTTTGCTTTAGCTTTTGTGTGAGGAATGTTGTAGTGTTTCCATAAATAATCATCACTCCTGATTTCTTCTTTAGGGGACAGAAGATTACTAAGAGAAAAGTCAGAAAGAACTATAGAAAGCCAAGAAGATGTGATCTACCCCCTTGAGCTCACTACATCAAAACCAGGGAAGAGCCCCTTCAAACGTAGCTTTGAAGAAGGGATATCTCAACCCCACACCAAGAAAAAGAAAATAGACCTCATCTTCAAAGATGTTCTAGAGGCTTCTCTGGAATCAACAAAGGTAGAAGAGCACAAATTCACCAAAAATTCTACTCCTTCCACTCGAAAATCCTTGAGATTCCAAGTTCAAGATGTCTCAGAAACTTGTGGGACTAGTGTTCAACACAGTTCTCCTAATCACAGTAGACACAGAAATGAGGGTGAGTGGAAGGTCCCTCATGGTTCTCCCTTCACCATGTCCAAAGAAATTGGCTTGCTGGAAGAGGAAGGTGAAGAACCCTTGACATTTAAAGTGAACAGCCCCACTGATCTGTCTCTGGTGTCAACTCAAGATGATGCCCTCGAAATCCCAACAACTTCCTTGTGTCCCAACTGCATACGGCTGAAAAAGAAGATTCGGGAATTGCAGGCTGAGCTAAATCTGCTAAGATCTGGCAAGTTAGCTGAGCCACCTCTACTACCTCCTCAGGTACCTGAGTATCAAGCATTTTCATATCCCACAGGTAAGTTACACAAAATAAAAATTCTCAGACATTATATAAGAAGATCTTACTTCACTGAGGTCTTGTGGCTGGGTTTTATGAAGCACAGTTTTCTTAATCCTGTGAGCAAACAGTTTGGGGCTGCATTTGTAATCATGAAACATCTTTCTTTTTACTGTAATCCGTTCATTTTCAATAAAAAAACATTGCAGCGAATTGGTTTGCTGTATTCTTGATACATCCCCTTGCAGAAGAAAGAATCACAGACTGTCATTTTGAATCCAGTTTAGGAAGTAATGTTTGGTTTTCTTTGTGAAATATACTGGTTCGTATATATGTGAAACATAAAAAACAAAGTTTACATTTTCTGAAGAAACTTGCTGTTAACTTTGTTGACTTATGAAAGTGTGTGTTTGTTTTTGAAGAACTCTTTCACTTCCTTCCATGATATCTCATTAATTCTTGTTATGATGTGGCAGTAGCTAGAGTACTACTGAGGTTGCTTTTTACAATTGCTCAGACTTAAGCAAATTAGGATTTTAAAAAATGGACTGGTTTCAAAACATTTGTAATTCAAAATGTACCCATGTGTAGATACAGGTGAAGGGTGGTGAACTATTTGACTGTTTTATGTTGTCTTCCAGAACTTGGTCTTAAACTTTCTACAATTCTTTTTTTGGCAGCTTCAGAAAGCATCATGTCTGTCCCTACCATTATGGAAGATGATGACCAGGAAGTGGATTCAGCAGATGAATCTGTTTCGAATGAGATAATAACAGCCACAGATGAGCCCTCCAAGATGTCTGCTGTCACCAGAAGGATTCGACGCTTCAAGCAAGAATGGCTAAAAAAGTTTTGGTTTCTGCGGTACTCCCCTACGCTAAATGAAATGTGGTGTCATGTGTGTCGGCAATATACAGTACAATCTTCTCGAACTTCAGCCTTCATCATTGGCTCAAAGCAATTCAAGATCCACACTATAAAACTTCATAGCCAGAGTAATCTCCACAAGAAGTGCCTGCAGCTCTACCGGCTCAGGATGCACCCAGAGAAGACAGAAGAGATGTGTCGAAATATGACTTTGCTCTTCAATACAGCCTATCATTTAGCTATGGAAGGCCGGCCATATTGTGACTTCAGACCTCTTGCAGAACTACTGAGAAAGTGTGAACTCAAAGTGGTGGATCAGTATATGAATGAGGGAGACTGTCAAATCTTAATCCATCATATTGCTAGAGCTCTTAGAGAAGATCTCATTGAACGGGTGAGGCAGTCTCCCTTCCTCAGCATCATTTTAGATGGGCAAAGTGATGATTTACTTGCTGACACAGTTGCAGTTTATGTACAGTACATCAGCAGTGATGGACCTCCAGCAACTGAATTCCTTTCTCTCCAAGAACTGGGATTTTCTACAACAGATAGTTACGTTCAAGCATTAGATCGGGCCTTTTCATCGCTGGGAATAAGGCTGCAAGATGAAAAGCCAAGTGTTGGTTTGGGAATAGATGGTGCTAACATTACTGCCAGTCTAAGAGCTAACATATACATGACAATCAGGAAAACTCTGCCTTGGTTGCTCTGCTTACCTCTAATGGTACACAAGCCACACTTGGAAATATTGGATGCAATTAGTGGAAAAGAACTGCCGTGCCTGGAGGAGCTAGAGAACAACCTGAAACAGTTACTCAGCTTTTACCGTTATTCTCCCAGGCTGATGTGTGAGCTAAGGGTCACTGCTGCTACTCTCTGTGAAGAGACTGAGTTCTTGGGAGATATTCGAGCAGTCAAATGGATCATTGGGGAGCAAAATGTCCTCAATGCTCTCATCAAGGATTACCTGGAAGTAGTGGCCCATCTGAAAGATGTCAGTGGCCAAACACAAAGAGCAGATGCTTCTGCTATTGCCTTGGCTCTCTTGCAATTTCTTATGGACTACCAATCCATTAAGCTGATATATTTTTTGCTTGATGTAATTGCAGTACTTTCACGACTTGCCTTCATTTTTCAAGGTGAATACCTCCTTATATCACAAGTGGATGATAAAATAGAGGAGGCCATCCAAGAGATTAGCAGATTGGCAGACTCTCCTGGGGAATATCTACAGGAATTTGAGGAGAACTTCCGTGAAAGCTTTAATGGCGTTGCTGTGAAAAACCTACGGGTGGCTGAAGCCAAATTCCAGTCAATTCGAGAAAAAATATGCCAGAAGACCCAAGTGATTCTGGCTCAAAGGTTCGAACCTCGCAGTCGGGCATTTGTGAAAGCATGCCAAGTATTTGACCTTGCAGCTTGGCCAAGAAGTGCAGAAGAGCTCATGAGCTATGGCAGGGAAGACATGGTGCAAATATTTGAACATCTGGAGGCAGTGCCATCTTTTTGCACAGAAATCAGTAGAGAAGGCATAGACACCAGAGGGAGTTTGCTCATGGAATGGCGAGAACTCAAGGTGGATTATTATACCAAAAATGGCTTTAAAGATTTAATCAGTCATATTTGTAAATATAGACAGAGATTTCCTCTTTTAAATAAAATAATCCAGATCCTCAAAGTCCTTCCCACTTCCACAGCATGCTGCGAAAAGGGAAGAAATGCTCTTCAGAGAGTGCGCAAAAACAATCGTTCCCGACTTACTCTGGAACAACTCAGTGATCTTTTGACAATTGCTGTTAATGGACCACCTATTGCCAACTTTGAAGCCAAACGGGCACTAGATAGTTGGTTTGAGGAGAAATCTAGCAATAGTTATGCACTGTCTGCAGAAATGTTAAGCAGGATGTCGTCCCTGGATCAGAAACCTGTGCTGCAGAGCATGGACCATGGATCGGAATTTTACCCTGATATTTAGCAAGGAATGCCTCTTGTTTAGAGAGCTGATGATTTTTTTTTTAATCAATACTCTAAGCTTTGGTATATTACACACACGCACACACACACTCACTCAGATACACATGTATGATGTAAACTCACACTGAAAATTTAAGCTGATCTGATGGAAGCTAAGAGGAATACAGCAACATTTAATATTTACTGACATCTTCAACTGTGGCAGCTGCAATGTAGGTGGCAACCTTTCATTCTTCAGAAACATGTACTGGGGCCATAGTCTGCATTTTCAACCTGAATCAATTTATAAGCTAGACATGGCAGGCCAATGTCATCCTACTTCTCTCTATGCTTTTATGTGTATGTCTGTTTTTACCTGTCTGGTGTTTTCCTTTTGTTAGTCAGCTATTGAGCCATTTTAGCCCCTTGCTTATCATCCCTGGGATTTCTGAGCCCTGTGCACACATCTTGGAATTCCTTTCTAGCTCCTCAAGGTCATCTAGGTTAGATTGGATCCTTCTGATAATCTGGTTAACTTTCATGCTACCGTCAATTAGCCAGAATAATTTTTCTTAGCATGACACATCAGTGGGCAGTTCCGGTGTTAGGCAAATGTCCTGTGAAAATTCTACTAACAAGTCATATATCTTACAATATTGATAGCATGTTCATGTGAAAATAGCATAATTCAGATTAGGGGGATGGGGGAATGTTTTTGCATTTATATTTTTATATAGTGGGGATAAGAAAATTAATTAAAACTCTTTACTGAAAACCCAGGCTGCTGTGGAAGCTAGATAGCCAATGAGTCAAATCCTATAAGAGGATATAGACTCCAGGGCTTAAAAATATACATATGCTAATTTTATGTTATTTATACTTGGTCTTTATAATCATAAATTGATTGTGTTTTCTGTTTGTTTGTTCGTTTGTTTTTAATAAGTGAAAAACCTGCTGCCTTTCTGTGGCAGGTTATATCAATGCAAAATCCATCTTTAGTTCTTAACAAATCTCAAGGTCCTTTTACTGGTTCACATATCTTTCTTTTACTAACATTTAAAGTTCCATTGTGTGGCTAAAAGAAAAACAGAATATTGTGCATATATCTGTGAACTTCTTTCAAAGAGTGCATAGTCTAGCAGATATGTGGAATATGAGATTTGAAGCTCAAATAAGACATGCATTTGTGAAGAACTTTTTTTAGCTTAATAAATAAGGATTGTTCAGGATAAACAAACCTAAATGAGCAGAGAGTCTCTACAATGTTTGTGCCATGCTCTTCTGGTATATCATAAGGCAGTGTTGGGAGATTTTGACTGTACTAGATGATCACAGGAATAAAAAGATAATTTTGGCTGGAGGAACTACTAGGGTAGCATGTTTCCAGAGGGACTAAACTCATGCCAGTCTGCATTTTTTTCTTTTTTCTTTTTAAATACAGTAATAATGTCAGTTACACTGAACCTATCCATTTTCCTTCCCTCCATCCCCATTTTCTCTGTCTTCTTCCGGTTAGTCTTGGTGCTAAGATTTCTCTGGAACCGTTGCTGCTAGAGGATAGTTTTTCATTTATATAACTATATATTGTGTTATTTTTAAACAATATGTTTTCAGTGATAATGTAGCATGTGGTTAAAGCAGTCTCTCTCAGGACATATCTGCACCGGGATCCTTTCCAGTGTCGTTTTTGTTTGTTCAATTTTAATTTGTCTTTTGTTACTCATTGTTCCAGTAACCATCTTGGCATAGTTCTTATAAGTATGTGATTATTATTTGCAAGACTTTAAGCTTTTTTTAAAAGAATAATGTTGACATAGGGTATAAAAGAAGGGGGCCTAATGCCTTTGTGCCACCTCCTTGGATTTGCAGATCAGCTAGAGTTTTCAGGAAAACCTGGCCAGGCCATCCTCTGACAGAAGAGGGAAAAACATCTGAGGGCTTTATAATAAATGCACAACTGCTATAAGAATACTTAAAAAAAAAAAAAAAGGAGACAAAGGAGGAGCAGGGATAGGAGGTAGAAATTGGGAGTTGGAATAGAACAATCCTTTGTCCAACCTAATTGCACAAAAGTTACTACTTTGCTAAGGTGGTACCGACTTCAGTCTGGGAGGAAGAAACAGGAAGTGAACAACCAATTGAGTCAATCACAGACAGGAAAAGGCATGGAGTACAACAGATGCAGATCTACCTTTAGTCACTCCCACTGCCAAAGGTTCATGCACTGCCTTCTCATTCTATGCACTCTTTCTTTCTGTCTGCTTAACAGTGAAGCACAGAAATTTGCCTCTTGTCCATTAGTAACTTTGCAGATGACATTTTATATTGCAGTGCCGTTTCTCCAATATTATGTATTGGGTGATAACAAATGTTGAAATTGATAAAATAATGAAAGCCACATGGCTTTGACCATTTATAACACTATGAATATCAACAGAGCTACAATAATACATATATTTTTCTAAGCATTGGGACAACTCTCATGGTTCAGAAAGCATTATTATGACCAAAAGCAGCTGCATGCATAGGCAGTAAGAGAAAAGCCTTGTAGATAATAGTTCACATCTTTAAGAAAATCATTCACCCTGGTATTTGTTCATCAGTTATATTAACTCCAGTTGAACTGTTACCATTTACTGAAACAAGACATTTCTTGCTGGGTCATTTTTACTTTTACTGGTGTCAGAGTTTTAGCCTCTAGCCCAGTTACCCCCATGCAGATGATTAAAAGATCTTTTGATGCTGATTTTTGAAAGGGTTCATATAAACAAGAGAACCTTTCAGACAAGTGATTTATGTTGATAAAGACAATTCCCAGGATTTAGAAGAGGATTTGTACTTTGCAGCACTCCTTTCCTATATGTGCTGGTGTTACAATAGCATGAATATATTAAATAGAATGAATCCAACCTATAGTTTACATTAAATACAGAAATTTTCAAATACAGTTTTTTAAACATTGAATTTCCTTTCTTCTTGTCATCCTGAACCAGAAAGATTTTGCTAGAATAAGGTACTTCAAAGTTTCCTCTATGAAAGTAAGATTCTACTTTTGTAATCTTCATGTGTTCTTTGGGATAATCCCCCTTCTGTAATTGTTATTTATCTCGCCTCATTAATGAGGAAAGTGAAGATACCCATGCTTGTGCTCTGATTTTTTTTTTTTTGTCTTAATTGGTTGCAAGAGGCACAAAATTAAATTGTCTGTAGGATATGTAAAGAAGGTTCTGTGTCTAAATGGACAATAAAAGGGAGGTTTGCAATATCAGAGTGCTAAGGATAGAAAAATATTTGTGCAAGCTTTTTTTGAAATCTTCCCTTGCTAAAAAACATAGAAATTGGAAAACAATTCACTTGTATGTTTAAAATTTTGGCTGTGCTGTAACTAAATCAGGATATGATCCAAACAGCATTTTAAAATGGACTCTTCTTGGCTCCAGTAGAAAAGACAATCATGCACTTAGTTCAACCTCATTAAAATCAATGATGCTTAACTTTGCTGCATCTTACAGATGTTTTCTAGCATTGCAACATTTTAAAGTTGCTTCCTGTTCATATATAATTAATCTAATTTGGTTTTAAAAAATGAGGTTGTGTTATATTCTTTGCAATCTGACTTTTTATACTACAAAAAAGTTTTCCACAGCTGGGCTCAGGGATTGCCAGTTTTTTCCTATATTCAGAGTCCAGGTTCTCAGCATTTGGTGAAAATGTATGCAGTGTTCCATCTCTGAAGTTGTGTTACTTCCAAAATGTAACCATTAAGTATGACAGCAACATTAAACTCCTATAAGCAGGTTGCTCTCTGATGAATGATTGTTAATTATTTTGGCTAATTAAGTGGATAAAAGAGTTTCCTAAAATAAAATCCTGGCTCGGTTGAAATCAATTCTATTTCGCTGCAGCCATATGTAAGATTCAGTAGTGTAATGATAGGTAGCCCATTTGCCAAGACCTAGACCAAAACAGAGTATTCTTTTTTGTCATGTTATGATTGAAAGTATAATTATTTGGTAAATGTTCTAATGGAGAAGGATAATATAAGGCAGTGTTTCTCAACTTTGGCAATTTTAAGACAGGTGGACTTCAACTCCCAGAATTCCCCAGCCAGCATTCTGGGAGTTGAAGTCCACCTGTCTTAAAGTTGCCAAGGTTGAGAAACAGTGACATAAGGGGTTATTGATTTGTGTGATGGAACATGATATGAGGAAGGTATCTTATCTTTAACCCTAGATCATAGAAAGACCTCCAAAATAGAATTACTTGGGGGGGGGGGAGACAGGGGGCCTTTCAGTGTTCTTTTTTTCATTAAAAAGTCCATGCTCAATTATTAATCCATATAATATATCATTATCAAACTATAATAAAGAGGTTGGAAAAAAATGAAGTGAAAAATAAAGGACACTAGAGGGCATCCATGGTTAATATGTTGGTGGTTGTCTATTGCAACCGAAGAGCACAATAATGGTTATTTACTTACTGATTAAAAAAACGATAGTTGGTGTTATATAAAGTACTTTGTTTAGTTTTCCCCTGTAATGAGGGGATAAAGGGGTCAAGCTCAGAAGGATCTAGTTCTGAAATCTAAATGGATCTGGTAAGGCAAGGAGCTACTGTTGTGGGTGAGCGATCTCTTACATCTCTACATGGCAAAAAACATGCAGTATGTGATGAATAGTTTCTTTCCTATTCAGTGCCTGTGACTATCTTGACAACTGGGGTCTGATTTCAGATTTTGCGATTATCAGTCAACTCAGGCTTTTACAGGTGTGATTCCATTTGGCACAAGCATATTAAACACACATTGATATGATGTTGTATGCAACTAGCTGGTAGTGCATAAAATCTCTGTGATCATCAAGCCTAACACAGCAGTAACTATGGAAGTGAACCAAGCAACAAACTTTCTTCCAATTTCAGCAAAAGCACAATGAAGACACATGCATGTGTGATGTGAGCTTGTACTCTTAAAAAGAGCTAATTGTGCCACACTGATTTTTGTACTGATGTGCCTGTTACTTGCACTTTTTGCTAGTACTGGTTCAAAAAGACCATTTATATACTGAGACCACAGCACAAATGTGGCCACAAAGAAGTATTTCAGGTTATACAGTATTTCCACTAGTACTGTTTCTGCTAGTAAGTTAGGGTTGAACTTGCATAGCAGAGTGAAAAGGCTAATCAGAATCCTTCCTCAGTTTAACAAAGCCTCTTAAGCACTAGAAACCTAATAGTCTGTTCCATAGCCATCATAGTCTCATTCCACTAAAATCTATGCAATTCTTATCTCCCTCTGAAGGCAAGTAAAATGTATATGCATGAAACTTGGTTTATGTCTACAGTACCTATTTGTGTGAGGTGCAATCTAAAGATATCATTGGGACCTGAGCCTTGAAAATGCTCTTCTTTTGAGTGGGAATTCAGCACACTCCCCCCCCCCATTGCACTCATTGGGCATGCTCTAGATAAAGTCAAGCACTTTAAAATTGTATTGATTTCAATGGAAAATTGAAGAATAAGTCTTAATTACTCAATTCTCCCACTGAATTCAATGAAACAAAAGACTTCAACTTTAACTAGATTGTGCCAATACTCTATACGAGGCTTACCCATTGTAACAATCCATATACCCTACACCATGTAAGAAACAAACCCACATGCTTATATATCACTATA